AGCAGCAGATACAGTCGGTCAGCTGTTCCCATCTCCTCTCTTTGAGACAGGTTTTGCTAAATGAGCTTGGGATGGATGAAACTTTCATCACACCCCTGCGTGAGAAGTACCTGCAGCCCATAACGGCGCTGCTTTATCCCGACTTGGGAGGCGATTGTCTGGACAGCCATAAAGCATTTGTTGTCAAGTACTCGCTACACGAAGATCTGGATTTGAGCTCTCACTATGACAATGCAGAAGTCACCTTAAACGTTTCACTGGGAAAAGACTTCACAGAAGGCAACTTGTACTTTGGGGATTTCAGCCAGGTACTGAGCATATTCCTAATCTGGACCCCGACTGTATTCCCCTCATCCCCCCCAGTGTCAAGGCATTAACAGTGTTCTAAAAAACAATTATTCACTTCTGACAGTCCAACTTGCTCCGTCCCTTCCCCATTTTTTTAAATGTCTTGGTTATACAGGAGCCTTTTCTGCTACAAGCACGTTACCAATATTCAAGCTTCAAAGAGAGGACAGAGACGGCTATCGTAGTAGAAACTGGAGTGAAACAAACCAGCCCATCTGTCCACAACTGAAATAGTCAGCAGGGAGGTGCTGAGAGAGAGAGAGAGAAGAAATTTATTTCAGATGAGAGTTAAACCTAAATCTGTAGCCCCTATTTCCAGGGGACTCCTGGCAAGAGAAGGGTAAAAGCTCCCATACACTGGTGACACAGGTTTTTTGATTGAAACTCTGTCTTTAAATTCCCTCTGGACCTGGCACTGAGAATGTCTTACTTGAAAACAGTTGTACTAAACTGCTGCCAAGCCACCACTGAAGTGGCTGCATTTCAGAGGTGCAGTGAGTCCTCTCCATGCTGCTCACTGGGTGCTGTAGGTGAAGAGGTGACAAGTAAAAGTTTCAACTATTTGAGCATTGTTCTGCTAGGGACTTTCTGGTGTAATGCTGTATCCGCCTCCCTTTTGTTCCAGGATCCTACCCCCATGCCAAAGTACATAGAGATCGAACACGTGGGAGCCCGGGGGCTGTTACACCGAGGAGGGCAGATCCACGGGGCGCTTCCCATTGCCTCCGGGGAACGCTGGAACCTCATTATTTGGATGAGATCATCTGCCATCCGCAACCAGCTCTGCCCCATGTGCAACAAGAAACCGGAGCTGGTGGAAGCAGAGGGGTTTGGAGATGGGTTCACAGAAACCCTTGAAGATGATGCGCCCGAGACTGTGAATCTCTGTTCCTTGTGGTAGCAGACAGTAGGGCCTGATTTCTCCAGACCAAGTTGCCTAAAGCTCCTTTCTGACCTCTCAGACTGCACTAACAGACTCCGTGATGGATGCACGAGTCATGTAAGAAGTAGCTGTCGCCTTGGAAAGTGACGCAAAAGCAATCCTGCTGGGGTTAGGGAAGCCGGCTGCTTGGACAGCTGAAAGAGCTGGTACTCGGGCTCGCCAGGGCTCACGCTCGGGCTGGAGGGTGCTTGGAAGATGAGGAAAGCCTTAACACTTTGATTCACTGCAAAGGCTCCGTAAATATTTTCAGGTGTATGGGGAAAACACCCAAAGCTGCTTGGCCTTTGTGAAGACCTCTGTGCCAACAGCAGCATCGCGGGTCCCGCTGTAAACGGAAAAGAACGGTACAATAAAGCCCTGCACTTACCGCTGCTCTGCTATTGGCAGGAACTCCTGTCCTCCTCCAGGGAAAGAGCTTTTCGCTGCTGGGTGACAGTGAAGGATCTGCCCAAAAGTGAGGTGCAGGTGATTCACAGCAGGCTGCTGGGAATGGCATGGAATTGTCGTCACCGTTTACCTAACCCAGGCTCAGAAAAATCCATCAGGAACAATACAGGGAGAGCTGATCCCACAGGGTGGCTGAGAGGATCTCTGAAGGCCTCCACGAGCTCTTTTGAGCAGAAAGTCCCCTTTCAAAGATAGCGCGGGTGTTATTAAACGGGCTTTAGAGACAAAGCTCTGGGAGCTACCTGCAACAGAGCAAAACTTTCCAGAGGAAGGCAAAAGCGTACATTTAACTCCCTTCCTTTAGTTATGCGAGCAAGTGAAAATAGAAAATAACTGTCTCAACCTGGGTGCGGCAGGCAGGCCTGGGACTTCGTAATTCGGCACCAAGATCCCCCCGGCAGCCGATGCATTAGGAGGGTCGGGTGCTTCCCCCGTCTGACTGCCGGCTGGCTGGAATCACAGACTCTCCCGCCTACAAAACAAATTAAAGAAGCCAAATGTCTTTTGGTTTGGTGGCTGCATTTGGCTCTGTGGGAAGTTAAGTGTATATATTCGATAGACACGTACGCCACTGCGTTTGTAAGGGGCTTTTTCATTCATTTATTCAACTGCGATAATTAACAGCGTGTGGACTTTGCATCGTCAGTAATTGTGGAAGGCTGAATGCCAGCGGGTGCAGCTTGCGCAAAGGGTGCCGGTTTAAGCCTTCCCAGCAGATCCGCTGTACTTTTGGCCGGGGATGCCGTTAGCACGCGGCACTCGTTAGCTTTTCATGAGCAAAACCCAGCACAGTTGCATCTCGGGAGGGAAACAGGCTGTTACGTTTGTGCGCGGAGCCGAAGGGCTGGTGTCAAGAAAACCAATTGTCAAGTCTTCGTTTCCTTCAGCAGAAAACGTTAGCGTTTCCTACCTGCGTCTGAATTAGGCCCCAAAAATTAAGCTAAAGGGCAATGCCAGCGCCGGCCCAGCGGCTGACCGCGGGGCTGGGCAGGCCCGCCGGACCCCGGAACCAA